CATATCCATGGATCGGGGGAGGTGCCCTCCCAAAAATGTGGCCGGTGCCGCCTCGTCCGGCGGCGGAAATCTGCGATTTCCCATGGAAGCGGGACCCGTCGCGAAGCCACAGCCCCTTGATCCATGTTTGCAATCGCCTGAATCTGAGGGCCTGGGTGGTGTTCCTCCCTTGACCACTCCTCCCCACCTCCACTTCTTCTTTTCCTGTCCATGCCCCCCTGCTTCCCCTCTCCCATCCACCTTCCCTGCTCCCTTCTCCTTGACATCTCCTCCCTCTTTCCTCCTCCTGCTCCTCTTCCTCCTCCTCCTGCTCCTGCTCCTCCTGCTCCTCCTGCTCCTCCTGCTCCTCCTGCTCCTCCTGCTCATGCTCCTGCTCCTCCTCCTCCTCCTCCTCCTCCTCCTCCTCCTCCTCCTCCTCCTCCTCCTCCTCCTCCTCCTCCTCCTCCTCCTCCTCCTCCTCCTCCTCCCTCCCTCCCTCCCTCCCTCCCTCCCTCCCTCCCTCCCTCCCTCCCTCCCTCCCTCCCTCCCTCCCTCCTCCCTCCCCCTCCCTCCTCCCTCCCTCCCTCCCTCCTCCCTCCCTCCTCCCCTCCTCCTCCTCCTCCGCCTCCTCCTCCTCCTACTCCTCCTCTTCTTCCTCCTCCTCCTCCTCCTCCTCCTCCTCCTCCTCCTCCTCCTCCCCGTGTCCGTCCTCCCTCCTCCCTCACCCGTCCTGCCTCCCTCCCCTCCTGCCGCCTTTCTCGTCCCGCCTACAATGGCACGTTCGCCCGTGCAGCGTGCAACGCGGCTTGAAACATGCGGCTCCTGGGCCCTATGGTCACGCGGTCTCTTTGATAGAACCATCGCGCGCCTCGCGCGCGCTGGAATTCTAAGCGAACGTATAACGCGTCCGAAGGGCTTTCAGATCGGGACCTTGGAATCCCACGCATTGGTGTCTGAAGTCGCACTGAAGACCGGTATTCGCAACAATCCTGGGCCATCCTTGGGCAACCGTGCGACTTTCTTCGGGACCACTTAGGCCTCCGAAGCCATCTTGTGGCCACACTGTCGCAACACGTGGAAACTCCAGGAAAGAAGAGACAACACGTTGGGATTCCTTTTGGTGAAAGAATCGGCCTTCTTGGATGACCTGTGTACACAATGTTGCGGTTTCTTGGGACCTCATTGTGCTGTTGGGCTCTTCCTGGGGTGGCCCGACGAAGGAAGGGACGGGAGGAGGGAGTAGGGAGGAGGATTTGTAGCTTTTCAACAGCAACTGTTTGCTTCAGGCCAAGGAAGCGACCTGGGCTGAGGGCTGCACCCCCACGGGTGAGGGGCGCACGACCGCTTGGCGCTCCAGCCATCTGCATTGAGGCACGCCACAAGCAACCCAACCCTGAGACGCCAGGGCGTCCGTTGATTTTCGGTATGGGGGCGTCACGGTCTCCATAGCAGAACCATCGAATCCGAAGAAGCCAAGGGCACCCTGGAGGCAAGCAGGTTGTTTCTTGGCATGGGCTTCCAACGTAAGAGCACCAGAGAAAACGCACCTCATGTGGGGCGAAAATGCGGTGGCCAACCACACGGAGCCATGACGCCGAACGCGGGCAACTCACTGAGAGAGGGATGATCGCACCAATGAACACATCCGCATATGCCCACACCCTGGGGGACAGCGCCCGCACTATGAGTGGGGATGCCCCCCCAGAGACGCGTGCGCCTGAAGGGCAGCGCGCAGTGAGGTGAGAGGTAGAGCTATGCAGCTGCTGCCGCCGGCCAGGCCTGCACCATCGCACACACTCGCTGTCCCGAAGAACGGCCCCGAGACACGGATGGCCCGGGCTGAGAAAACCGCTGGCCTCGCCCCTCCAGGGGCAGGCGGGCCAGAGGCCCCGCCTCGTCCTCGTCCTCGTCCTCGTCCTCGTCCTCCTCAGGGATGCGGGCCAAAGGGAAAGAGAAAGGGAGGGGAGGGAAGAGAGGCACCCCCAGTATTGGATGGTCTCGCAACAGGCAAGGCCTGCCCGTGCGAACACAACGAGGGGGCCCGGCGCGGCCAAACCGGGCTGTCAGCTGGGTGGGCAACACTACCGGTGGATACAACACCACGGGTGGCACGAGGGAGTAGGGAGAGGAGAAAGGGGAGGGACGAGGAAGGAGTAGGAATGAGGGAGGGAGGAGGAGGAGGAGGAGGCGCGAGGAAAGGAGGGCGAGTGAGAACGGGAGAAGAGAGACGGAGGAGGGTCGAGGGAGGAGGAGAAGGCAGCGGGAACTGAAGAAGAGCAAGAGAGTGAAAAGGAAGAAAGGCGGGAAGGAGAAGGACAAGGATGAAAGAGGATGAGGATGAGGATGAGTGATAGGAAGAGTGTTTGTCAGAGTGAGTGGGCCGAACGATCATTCATTGTCCCTTGGCGCGTGGCTGAACTGGGGTTCCGCTGTGAAGGTTGTGTTGTTGCTGTCGCGCTGGTGTTGTTGTCCTCGTCTGCGACCCGCCCATGACCGAACCCGCGACCCACCCGCGACCTACCCGCGACCCACCCGCGTCCTAACCACATGGCTTCCACCCGTGACCCAACCACATGGCTTTGACGAAAATTCCGCGCCTGAAACGGGCTCGTTCTGCTACGTGTTAAAGAGTCGGCGCCTGCAGCGTGATTTCCATAGCCTCGAAAGCTGCCAACGAACCCGCCGCCCCCTCAGCCTTATCCGCAACTACGGGGTGCTACGCATACCTAGTTTTTGTTACCTTCTGGAATGAAGGTGTCTTCAATTTGAGGCGTGCATAAAGTAGTTTGTAATCTACACGGGGGCTGCTCTTGGACCCCTCTGGGTGCTCATTGGAGGCTTCTTGGGGAACTCTCGGGGTCTCTTGGAGACCGCTGGGATGCTCCGGGGGCAAAGGGCGATCGAAGGGCCGCTCGGGGAGCGCTTATGGAGCTTCTTTTGGACCTCTTGGGGCCTTCTGCCCCTTGGGCCGTCTTGGGGCAACTTCATTCCCAACCCTCCGGTGTGTTGGGTTCTCGTTTTGAACAGCACTGCGGTCGCACACCTCCTCCTCCTCCTTCTCCTCCTCCTGTTCCTGTTCCTGTTCCTGTTCCTGTTCCTGTTCCTGTTCCTGTTCCTGTTCCTGTTCCTCCTCCTCCTCCTCCTCCTATTCCTCCTCTCTCCTCCTGCCTCCTCCAGCGCTGAACCCTGCGTGGCTGCGAACTGCGAAAATTGCGCCATTTTCGTGGGCTCCTGGGAAGCACGGCGGAGTAGCAGAGCACGCTCACCCAGACGGACGGGACATCGCAGTTCCCTGGGTGGCTGCGAACTGCGCAGCTGGCGCCACTTTCGTGGGCTCCTGGGAGGAACGGTGGAGTAGCAGAGCACGGTCACCCAGACGGGACCTCAGAGCTCCCTGGGTGGTTCAGCTGCGAAACTGGCACCGCGGGCTCCTGGGAGGCACGGCGGAGTAGCGGAGTACGCGCACCCAGACGGGACCTTTCAGCTCCATGGGTGGCTGCGAACTGCTGCGAACTGCGCAGCTGGCGCCACTTTCGTGGACTCCTGGGAGGCACGGCGGAGTAAGTAGCGGAGCACGGTCACACAGACGGGACATCGCAGCCCCCTGGGTGGCTGCGAACTGCGCAGCCGGCGCCACTTCCGTGGGCTCCTGGAAGGTCCAGCGGAGTCGGGGGGCACGCGGATTCAGCCGAGACCTCGCAGCTGGCTGGGTTTCTGTGAACTGCGCAACTGCGGCCCTAGGATGGGCTTATTGCCTGCCGAGAGCTAAGGGGGCGGGGGAGGCCCATCACTAAAGGCCTTATGCGGTTAGGGGGGTGACAGGGGCAACCCTAGCAGAAAGAGCCCTCCCCCCAGGACTGGAGGCCATCTGTCTCGTCCTCCTCCTCTTCCTCCTCCTCCTCCTGCTCCTCGCTGCCTCCTTTCCCAGACATGCAACTTTCTGAGTTTTCGACTCGCGGGCCGCTGAAGTCGCAACCTTGTTTGTCCTGGGGCAGATGTTTCATGTCGAGTGGTTTTTTTGACTGTCCCAGGGCCCAGCGAAGGCCCCCAGAGGCCGATAACGGCGAAAAACCTCCCGTCGTGATGTTTTCAAGACGCGAGCATGTCTGGGTCTCACACTCAACATGCTCCTCCCTCATCCTCCCCTTCCCTCCTCCGTCGCCGTTCCCCCCTCCCACCCCCCTGCACCAAAATGCCGGCCAGCGTCGGCGAGCGAAAAAGCCTTCCACGCTGTGTCGATCGCTCAACGTTGAACCGATCGCGGCCCCGATCGATCAAGGTTGAATTCAATCGGGGCCAATGGCGTTACCGTGTCCATCGGCAATTCCGCGTTGCAGAATTCAACTTTGAACGCGTCCACCAGTGTCGACGGCGCGCCAACGCCGCCTTGGCATAGGGGGGAAAACATCGACGTGGAATCGACAATACATTGCCGATAAGTCGGCGACAGGCCCCCGATATCGAATCCGCACGCTCCTGGGCGGGGGGTGGGGCTATCAGATCCCTATCGGCGATCCATGGGCGAATGGGGATCGATGCATCCCCCCCCCTATGCCTATATGGGGAAACCAACAGTACTGATACCGCTACTCCCCAAACCTCTCCTGCGGTGCGTTCTGACCAGAATTTTGAAGCGAACCCAGCGGTGGCGACGAGGGCCTCCAAGGAGGCCCAAAAAGGCGACGACGAGGGAATGGTAGTAGGACTGGTACCCATTCCTCCTCTGACTTTGCCCCCCTATCGTTGCCCCTGACACCAACAAGCGAAGGACACTCGGGGATCTACTGACCCGGGTCGATCCAAACCCAGGTCAGTCAGAGTCAGGCCATGCAGGATCTTGCAACATCCTGCAGGATCCTGCGCCCAAGCTCGGGTCAATGCAACACTGGCTCTGCAGGATCCTGCAAGATCAAGCGCTCTGGCTGATCCCAATTCGCATTGACCCCTGCCTCTTGGGCCCCGATTGCACAGCTCCTCGGCTCCAGGTCCACGCCCAGGCTCCCCCAGCCAGGCAGCGGCAGGTGTCAGGCCAGGGACGAGGAGGAGGAGGAGGCGGAGGACGAGGACGAGGAGGACGAGGAGGAGGGAGGAGGGAGGAGGAGGAGGAGGAGAAGGAGGAGGGAGGAGGAGGAGGAGGAGGAGGAGGGAGGAGGAGGGAGGAGGAGGAGGAGGAGGTGGAGGAGGGAGGAGGAGGAGGAGGAGGAAGGAGGAGGAAGGAGGAGGAAGGAGGAGGAAGAGGAGGAGGACGAGAGAGAACGGCGAAGCCCTCTCGTCCCTCTCCTGCCGGGCGGGCCTTCTATTCGAGCCGCCGCTTCCCTGCGTCACGGCCCGAGCCGCGCAGGCCGCGCGGGCCACGGGAGGGCGCGTTCCCGCGCGCCGAAGGCGCGGGGCGCGGGCCGCGCGCCCGGAGTTGAGCAGGGACCGACCGTCCCGGCATTCCTATAGGCCTACCACGACATGTTCCCAGAACCCAGCAATGTTCTAAGAGCAAAAACAATGTTCTTAAAACATAAGCCCGATGTGTTAAACCAAGACGGTCCCAGCCAGAAAGGTTCTGAGAACATTTCGTTGAAACCACAAAAGGTTATTAGAACATTATTTCGTGGACCTATAGGCGAGCCAAGACGCTTCGCCAAACAGTTCTCAGTAGTTCAATACTGTGCATAGTACCACGTCGTACTACTGTGCGTTGTGGTATTTGCGCTCGCTGGTAGTATGAGATGTGTGTTTTCGCGATACGGATACGGCGCTTCCGCACATGTTTAAGCTTCCTGTTTGGGTGTCTTGTTCTCACCCTGTCAACTGCGCGTTTCCAACATATGATTGTTTATGTTCACTGTGGTCAACTTCCCGTGCGGAAAAGGTGCCGAGGACATTTGTGTTTCTGTTCATCCGATAATGCGAATGATTTTCACGAAGCATACTTGCTCAAATGGTGGAGCAGGGATGTTTTAAGTTTTGTTGTTTGGCGGCGGTGGCGAGCGAACCATTCAAGTGGCGGACCTTTGGTTTGTCACACAGGAGTGGCATGCAGCATTCATGTGAAATTTGTTCTCCAGCTCGGGCGCTTCGTGTTCCTTGCCGTCCACCCTGTGCGTCTTCGAGGTCAGGGGCTGCGCATTCTTGTTTTCAGACTTTGTCTGGGTCCCGCAGTCCCTCCCTCCCTCCTCGTGCCTTCCTGCCTGGCTCCTGCCTTCCCCAGGAGAGCCCAAAATCGAATCGACAAGTCGGATCGGCGATCGAAATTAATCGGATCGGTGGAAACCGGCAGCCAGGTCGGGAGAAGACGAATCGGCGGGAATCGGCAGGCTAGTAAGGCCTCCATGGAGAAACCGACACCCGAATCGGGATCCGACATCGAATCGAATCGGAATCGGAACAGTTCGACATCGAATCGAATCTTGTCGGAGAAACCGAAAGGAGCCCTGCCTCCCCCTCCCCCCCCCGCCCCCTCTGCCCTCGTGCACCCCTGGCAGCCGTGCCCCGATCCGCTTCCCCGTCCCTGGCCTGAAGCGAGCCTGGCGTGAAACGGACGGGCCCCGAGGAAAACGGGGCCTAGCCTCCGGGGCTCTCACCCAGTCGGATGGCGCCATCTGTACACCCCTTCACCGATCCTGGCCAGGCCGATCCTGAGCCAAGGACTAGTGTGCATTTCGGTTGCAACTCCCGGGAGCCTCCCATGCCGTCTTGCTGCCGCGTGCGGATCGACGCTCCTCGACGCTCAGTCGGCGCTGTATCGTCGATTACCAGACGCTAGCGCACGCTAATCAAGACGAAACCAGGACGAGGATAACATCGGGTGAGGATGACTCCAGAATCTCTGAGCTCCGGCGGTTCGGGAGGACGGCTCGGGCGCCGCGGCCATCTCAGAGCGCTCTGAGAGCGCGGCAGAAGGCCCTGGAGCGGATTTCTCCTCGTCCTATCCCCGTCCCACTCATGCACTCGAGGGACGGAACTGCGAGGACATGCGAGGCTCCCCTGGTTTGCTCATGAGGTGCATGCCCTCCTCGCCGAGCCAGGAGGGCGCCAGGCTTGAGTCGGGCACCTCCTCCCACAGGCGGATTTTAGAACAGACCTTTTTCCCCCAAAGTTCTAACAGGTGTTCAGAAAAAAGTCACAAAAGGCGAAAACAACAAACGTCCCCCTGTCATTTTTCCGGATCTTTGAATATTCCTCCTGCAGAGGGGTGCCCTCCTCACCAAGCCAGGAGGGCGCCAGGGCCAGGATCGGCGCAAGCGTTCGGGGATCTTCTGACCCGGGTCAATCCAGACCCGGGTCAGCAGGAAACCAAAAACTGCAATGCAGGAAAAAAAAACTGCACCGCAGGTCTTCGCAGACCCAAGTCAGCCAATACGCGCGGCCGCCTCGCGGCCACGAGCGGCCCCGTCTGTATTGACCCCCGTCTCAAGGCTCCCGAAGCGTATCGCTGACGCGCTCTCCAGCCAGGGACACGCTCCCCGTCCCCCCGCAGCCGCCCGGGGACGGCCCCGGGCACCCGCGGAGGGTCTCCCCCGACGTGGAGGAGCAAGACGCCGCAGACACACACAGAAACCTTCGAAGCTTCGCGCTATAGGTCGGGCGCACGTCCCCCTGCAGGCAGATTTTGGAGGAAACATCACAGATCGCCGAACAACAATTACCCTGTGACGTACCCAGCCCACTTGTATCATGGGAAACGAGGAGGTGGCCGAAACTTGCACGGACAATCAAATTGCAGGATCCGCTGTTTGATATGGAAGCTACTTGGGACACGCGCCAATGGAATGATGCACAGGAGAACCATACAAGAACGAGGGGCGACAACTACAGGCTCGAAGAGGACATGGGGAGTCGGGAACGAAGAGCAGGAGAAAGACGTGCGGGAAGCCCACTGTGCTGGGCCCCCCAGCAGGCCTCGAAAGTGGCGACAGTTTCACAGATCGCAGCCCCCCAGGGATGGCGAGGTCCCATTTGAATCCGCCGTGGGTACCCACTGTGCTGGGCCCCCCAGCAGCCCTCGAAAGTGGCGACAGTTTCACAGATCGCAGCCCCCCAGGGATGGCGAGGTCCCATTTGAATCCGCCGTGGGTACCCACTGTGCTGGGCCCCCCAGCAGGCCTCGAAAGTGGCGACAGTTTCACAGATCGCAGCCCCCCAGGGATGGCGAGGTCCCATTTGAATCCGCCGTGGGTACCCACTGTGCTGGGCCCCCCAGCAGCCGATCGAAAGGGGCGACAGTTTCACAGATCGCAGCCCCCCAGGGATGGCGAGGTTCCATTTGCATCCGCCGCGAGTGCACACTGTGCTGGGCCCCCCAGCAGCCCTCGAAAGTGGCGACAGTTTCACAGATCGCAGTCCCCCAGGGATGGCGAGGTCACATTTGAATCCGCCGCGAGTGCACACTGTGCTGGGCCCCCCAGCAGCCCTCGAAAGTGGCGACAGTTTCGCAGATCGCAGCCCCCCAGGGATGGCGACGAGCGAGGCGAAAGGCAAGGGGGAAGAGAGGGGCGGGAGGGGGCGGGAAGGAATGAAAGAAGGTTCGCGCGAGCAGTGCTCTATTCAAAACGAGAACCCAACGCAGGAGAGTTGGGAAAAAGAATCACAGCAATCGAGCAACCGTCCCAGGACTACCGTTCACTATCTTTGAATATCCCACCTATAGAGGGACACGCCCGATTTGAGCTTAGCGCGGACTTCTTGGATCGGCCCTGTGGGCCCCCCCTGCCCCTGCGAGCGCGCCCGGGGCGGCGCCAAGAGGGCGCCGTCGGGGTCCCCAGCGCCGCTCGGGAGAATCCGCGCGGCACTCCGACAACTGATGCGTAGATGCCGGGTGCTTGGTCTTCGGGTCTAGTTGGCTACCTACCAGACACCACCCCAACCCAACCCGAAGACCCGCATTTGACCCGAATTTCGGATAGGGGGGGTACGGGTTCCATGTGTTGTTGCAATGTTCCTCGACCCCCTCCCACTGGAAATGGAGGGCAAATTGAAGCCTTCGGGTTGGGTTGGGGTGGTTTGGTGCGTGGTGACTAATGACGTCCGTGGAGCCCGCGGAAAGCCCCCGAAGAGCCCAGATCGGGGATCTGCTGACCAGGGTCCTTCCAGCCCCGGGCCAGTCAGGCCTTGCCGGATCCGGCAAAATCCCTGGGCCCAAGCACGGGTCAGTGCGCCCCTGGCCCTGCAGGATCCTGCAATATCCGCCGCTCTGACTGACCCCCGTTTGCGTTGACCCCCGTCTCCCCAGACCCCCGACGTCGTGATTTTTTCGCAACGTCGACCCCCAGAGGTCTGGACCCCTTCACTGGAACCTTTTTTTCGTCGTGAATCGTTTTCTGGCGGTCCTGAGGCCTGTGAGGGCCCCTGGAGGCAGAAAATAGCAAAAAACCTAATGTTTTGTTTGTTTGTCCTGAATCGTTGTTTGGCGGTCCCGAGCCCCAGCAAGGGCCCCCGGAGGCCGAAAACAGTGAAAAACTAGCCGTCGTGATTTCTTCACAACGCGAGGTCTTGAAAAACATTCGAAAAAGGTCAGCACAAATAAAAAGGTATTTTCTACAATTCTTGAAATATTCCTCCTGTAGAGAACCATGCCCGACTTAGGTCGGGGGCGGCCAAGAGGGGGGCGTCCAAGAGGGGGTGGGGGGCGGCGCAAATCATGGCCAGCGGCACGTGCGCGGCCCAGGGGGGGGGCCAGGGACGTAATGAAATAAGAAGAGGCGCCATGAATTCTGAGGAAATATCATGCCCCACGCCATGATATCCCACCCACCCCCCTAGTCATCACCCCCCTGGTCGTCACACGACTCAAGCCTGGGCCCCGACCGGAGCATGGCGACAGGCCTCCGGGGGGACCCGCCGCCTCGGGGCCGAGGTCTGAGAGGCCTGACGGGCGGGGGGCACCGTGAGCTCTGCGTGGGCGCCGTGGCCAGCGCACGCTCTCCTCGGCCTCCTCCTCGTCGTCCTCCCGCGGCGCGGGGGTCGGCGTCACCCCAACATACTTCTAGTAGATGTGCGTCGCCCCCCCCAGGGCTGACGCGCCCACCGAGAAATCTTATAGTATATGTGTCGCGGCGGGCGCGTTCTGGCCACACCGCTCGGGAAAGGATATACTACAAGATGGGTATACTACATGTTCGTGTCGGACGCGCACCTCCAAGGAGGTATGTCTCTCTGCGTCCGGGGGGCCAGAGGCTGGTCGTCAAAAGAAGGCCCCAAATCTCGTCGCGCTGTGAAGAATCCACGACGGGAGGCTTTCCGTTATTTTCGGCCTCCGGGGGCCCTTATTGGGGTTCAGGGACCGTCAAAAAACAACTCAAGACGAAAAGCTGGTCCCGGGGAAGGGGTCTGGACCTCGGGGGTCGACTTTGCGAAAAAATCACGACGTCGGGGGTCTGGAGAGGAGCTAAGGAAAGGACAAAGGGAAGGACCCTGATATTCTGGGAGAGAGCGTGATCCACCGCCGCTTTACTGTGGAAATTCCCCCCCCCCCCGGGGTTCCCCCCCCTCCGAAAATCCCCCCCCCTTCCCTCCGGCAAAACCCCCCCCCCCTAACCCCACCCCCCCTCCTGAAACCCCGGGGGGCACGACCAGTTCGACCCCCCCCACCCTGCGGAACACCGAGGGGGGTCACTACCGGTTGGAACCCCTCCCCCCCCCGCCCCCCAGAAAACCAGGAGTCACTACCGGTTTGAACTCCCCCCCCCCTCCGGAAAACCGGGGGGGGTCACTACCGGTTCGAATCCCCCCCTCGAAAACCGGGGGTGGTCACAACCAGTTCGAACACTGTCCCCATCACTGTCCCACTGTCTCCACTGTCCCCACCACTTTCCCCACTGTACTCCAGTCCCACCACTGTCCTCACCACCGCCTTCACCACTGTCCCCACCACTACCGTCCCCACCGCTGTCCCAGTGTCCTCACCACTGTCCCGCTGTCCCCTCACCACTGTCCCCACCACCACCGTCCCCACAACTGTCCGCACCACTGTTCCACTGTCCCCGCACCACTGTCCCCACCACCACCGTTCCCACCACTGTCCTAGCATCCCCACTCCCCACCATTGTCCAACTGTCCCGCGGAGCGGGAATCGTTTGCCGGCGGCGAGGGAGGGGGGGGCGATGGGGGGGGGGTCGAAACGGTAGTGACTTCCCCCGGTTTTCGAGGGGGGGCGCCCCACCTTGGTTTTCGAGGGGGGAGGGTTCGAACCGGTGGTGACCCCCCCCCTTTGAATGATGGACTGGGGGGAGGGAGGTTCGAACTGGTAGTGGCCCCCCTCGGTTTTCGATGGGGGGGGTCACAGACTGGGAACCCCCAGTGACCCCCTCAGTTTTCCGCCAGCAGCGGTATAACATGCTCTTTCTATTCGGGCGACGCAATTGTTCCGCCCAGGGCCATCCCAAATCGATCCATCTCGAACAAAACACAAAGGCGGGTCTGGGGCTCCGGTCGCGATTTGCACACATGTTTTTCATTTTTTTCGCGACGCCGGATCTCAGGGGAGGAAACAGGGAGGCAGGAGGAAGGGGGGAGAAAAAGTTTTAAACGCGCGTGCCGAGGCATGCACGCGGGTGCCCCTGGTCTCGGCACCCTGGCCGAGCGCACTAGCAGCACGCTCGCGGCAGGGTGGGCCAGCGGCCTCAGCGCGCATCCTCTCTAGCGGCAAGCGGGGGCCAGCAGGCTGATGTCTGCTGCCAGTGCACCCGCCTCCGCTGCCGCTCTCCCTGGCGGCAGGCGACGATCAGCAGGCTGACGGCTGCTGCCAACACTACCGCCTCCGCCGTCTCTGGCCGCTGCTCCGCGGGATCTCCATCGCGTTCGCGGCCTGCGCCTTCTCAGCGTCCTTGCGCAGGAGCCACTCTGGCTTGCCCCTACTGGGCCAATGCTTGCGCTTCGAGCCCTCCGCCTTCTGCTCCTCCTCGGGCCAGGCGTAGGTATTCCACTGCTGCTGCCCTGCGAACTCGCGCTGAGCCCCATCCGTCTTGGGCTGCCACTTTGTCTTGTCGCGCGCCTCGGCGCGCACCAGCTGGGGGTTGTTTGTGCGGCCCCCCACCGCGCATGGGCCGTCTGCGCGTCGCCGTCGCTTTGCTTCGTCTCGTAGGCGCGCAGGGGGCGGCCCTGGTTCTCCGCGATGCTCTGCTGGTTGCCGAGGGCCACCTGCAAGTACGCGTCCACGGTGCGCACCTGGCCGTCCTCGATGCTCACCTCTGCCTCCTCTAAGTAGAGCTTCCTGCCCTGGCCCTCCGCGAAGCTCCGCGCGTGGCCCTCGGTCCACTGGGCGTCGCCGTCGTTCTGCTGCTCGACGTTGCGCGACTGGCCCTCCCCGCCGTCGATCTCGTCCTTCTTCTGCAAGATGTCCAGAGCGGGGAAGGCAGGGGCCTCCACGAGCGGGGCGAGCATGTGCAAGTTGCCCCAGGCCTCCTCGAGCTCCTCTATCTGCTTGCCCTGCTCATCGATCACGTTGGCGAGGTCACGCGTCTCGGTCTCCATCTGCTTGATCCGCTGCTTGGAGTCGTCCAGCATCTCCCCAAGGACGTGCGTTTCCTGGTCCTGCTGGCTAAGCTGCATCAGGAGCTCCGCGTTCTGGGCCACCAGCTGGGCCTTGATCCGCATTGCCTCCAACAGCTCGGTCTCCTTCTGCTCCATGGACTGCTTGTGCTCCGTCTTTGCCGCCTCCAGCTCCAGCATCTTCTCGCCCATCATTCTCCCTGGGCCCCTGCGCGCTGGAGTCCGCCTCCTCGTGCGCGAGCTTGGACGTCCCGTGGGCCTCGCCGCCAGCACTGAGCCACGCCCGCGCCTGGTCGAGGGCTTCATCGCCCATGCCCGGGTGGCGAAGCAGGCTCGCGGCGGTGTCAATGCCCCGCCAGGCTTGAGGTTTCTTTTGCCTGTCTAGGCCCTGGTACGACGTTTGATGGGTTTTGATGGTCCGAAACAGCCATCAGGTTTGGTGGCCCCCATCCTGGCGTGAAAGTAGGGTGATGGACACCCTCGGGGGGCTCCGCGAACAGTTATCAGCCCTTTTGGGCTGAGGCAAACGCTGTAAAAAACAGGCATGACATTTGATGGCCGCCAGGGTGGGTGGCCCGCTTGCGGGCCGAGCCCAAGACCACACATTCATGGGCGAACCCACTAGCACAACTGAAAGCCACGCGCATCAACATCAAAAAAATGGTGGCAAGGAGGAGGATGAGGAGGAGGGAGGGCGAGGAGAAGGAGGGGGCTAGAGGAGGAGGAGGAGGGAGGAAGAGGAGGAGGGAAGAGAGGCAGGGAGAGGGAAGGCGGAGGCGGGAGGGGGAAAGGAGGCAGAAGCAGGGAAGGAGGCGAGGTGAAGGAGGGGGCAGCAAGAAAGAAGGTTTGGGTCGGCAGCAGCGGCGGCGTCCTCGCTTCGTGCCTGGCTCGGGCTCGCGTCCTCCTCCCTCTTCTGTCGTCGTCTCTCCTCCTCCTCCCTCCTCCTCCCTCCTCCCCCCTCCTCCTCCCTCTTCCTCCCTCCTCCTCCCTCCTCCTCCTCGTCTTCCTCCCTCCTCCTCTAGGCGGCGGCGGCGCAGCCTGCTGCCTGGGGCCGCTCACTCGGCCAAGCGCCTCTGGACCTCTTTCCAGAGGCCCGTGGGGATCTCCTCCACCGCCACCGCCCTCGCCGTCATGGCGTCGATCGCCCTCGTCAAGGTGTCCGTCGCTGACGCACCCTTCGCCGCCGCCGCCTGCGCGAGCGACGCCACGGTCATCGTGACGTTGCTCTTCTGGACGGCATCCGTCCACTTCTTCTTCTCCGACTCGAATTCGGACTCGACCACTGCGAAATCTGTGCAGGCCGCCGCAAACTCACCACGCTTCTCGGCTACGTCCTTGACCAACGTTTTGATCTTATTGCTGATGCCGATCTGACGGAACAGCGTTTTTTTGAGATGGTCCTGGAGGCTTGGCCAGTCGTCATCGCTGCCAGTGTAGGTGTCCATGAAGCCGCTGCCGTCGGCCATGCCGCCAGCGATCTCCTCCAGCCTTGACGCCACGCGGCTGGCTGCCGCCGCGGCCTCGGTAGCACGCATCTTCGAGTAGACATCCGTCGCTTCTTTCGCCGCTGGGATCCACGGACCCACCTTCTCTGTGAAGACCTTCCACGCGTCGAAGCCGAAAGGAACCAAGTGCGCATCCTCGGTGTCGGAGTTCACGGCTGGCACGCTGATCGTAGCTGACACGAGCTCCTGGTATACCGCCTTGAGCGCCGCGTTCTCTGCGTCCTGCTGCGCCGTCACCGAGATGAACTTCTCGAACTGAACGATGTGCCCAATGTGCTCCTCCACGTCCGCGCACCGCATGTTGACCGCATTGTTCAGGATGGAGGTGTCGCCGAGGTGGCTGATGGTCTTCCGCAGGCTATCGGCGATGCCCTTGCGCCACCAGGCGTTCTTAATCAGAGTGCCCATCTCAGGGCTCCTCACCATCTCGTCGGGGTGCTTCACGTCGAGCACCTCGATGCCATTGAAGATGATGGCGATCGCCCTGGCGATGTTCTCGCAATCGTCCTTGACGCTGATGCTAACCTTCTTGTTGGTCCTGAGGGCGATGTTGACGAAGTCCAGGTTCTCCTCGCTGGGGTCGCTGAGGTACTTGGTGACCGACGCCATGATGGCCGATGAACTCCTGGACGCCTCGGCGGCGGTGCGCTTGTCCAGCAAGCGAGCGTACGCACCGTCCAGCTTATCGGTCGCCTCGTCGTCCAGGGAGGAGTCCGCAGCCACAGAGTATTGGGTCATGACCACCTCGAGCTTGCTCAACATCTCCAGGTTCACGAGGGCGTCGCTGCTGTCGACTAGAGTGCTGGTCATCCTGATGATGGTCTGCTGGACTGCTTCCTCCGCCTTCACTGTCGACGATGCCTTGCCACGGCACGTCTTCCTCCAATGACCGATGGACGTGATCGCAGAGGTGAGGGCATTCAAACCATCTTCATCGAACTCAGAAGCCCTCAGCTCCAGCATCAACGAGTTCATCTTCGGCGCCGCTTGGAGGTCTGTCGAAGCAGCCCGTCGAAATGACGACTTCCACTCGGCCCAGGGCTCGTGCTTTCCGAAAGCCGCCGCGAGCGGCGCCCACTCTGGATCGGAGAAGCCACCCGTCAGCAAGTTGATCAATAATGGCATGTGCGGGGCGCAGGCCGAGAAGGACTCAGGGTCGTCGTTGCCCAGGTGGGTCAGCAAGAGGCCCACGCCAACGACCTTCTCGAAGTAGTCTTTGACGCTTGGGCTCCACTCCGGCAAGCTGCCACCGAAGTGGTCGGCCAAGGCGACCCCAAGCTGCTGCAGGTGCTTGACCATGGAGGGGTCCGCCAAGCCAGGAAGTACCACGATGTCCATGAGGATCTCTCGAGACACCGCAACTCTCGAGTCGATGTCGCTCTTCATGCTGGAGAGCTTGGGCTCGTACATGTTGAAGGGCTCTGGCGTGGCTGTGACTGGCAAGATCGCATCCGCGATCTGATCGATCGAGGGGTTGCCCAGGAGCAAGTACTTCCTCAGCAGGGTCTGCGTGAAGTTGTAGGCGCACTCGACGTCCCCGTTTGTTAGTTTCTTAAGCTGCCCACAGATCTGCTCCCAACCCATCTCGTTGATGTTGGTCACTAGCGTTGTCGCTGTCTCAGCTTTCGTGTGCAGTGTCTCGGCCATGATCGCCATGCTGGCTGAAGTAGGTCGGAACCTTTTCAAGCTGTAGACCCGATCGCCCTTCGGCAAGCCGTCGAGGATGTCAGGGATGACGACGTCATGCTTCAACTGCTCCCACCGCACCTTGTCGCTAGACAAGGCTGCCGCCGACGCCTTCGGTGCAATCTTGCGCCCAGAGCTCACGCGCGTACCCACACTCGGCGCTGGCGACCTCGAGCGGCCACGATCTCTACCAGGTGATACCGATGAGGCTGCTGGCGACCCCAAGGCAGCCAAGTCCCCTGACGAGAGCCTGCCCGTCCGCGGCGCCTGGGGAGTAGCACCGCTGGCGGGTGCCGCAGGGCACGCGCCCGAACCGCCGCGGGTGGTAGGGCCCCTCGCGCCCGCCGACGCCGCTGCGGCCTTGGAGGCAGCCCGAGGCGCCGCGGCCGCGGCCTGCGAAGCGCCACCGCCTCGGACTGAGGCTTGCTCCACCTCGTCGGCGCCCCCGTTCTCGATGGCGAGGAACTCCGACGGAACAGCAGGCGAGCCCTTGGCCTTTGGCGGCCAAGCCGAAAGGCCACGGCTCACAGCCTCCGCGTTGGCGATCTCCTGCAACTGGGTGAGCGTCGGCACCTTGGCGTGCCCTCGGAGGATGGTCGCTTGCTTCTGTCTGATCTTCGTGATCTCCTGCTTGAAAGTCTGCTGCTCCCCTCTTGAAGTTGCCGCTTTCGCCGCCGTGAGCTTGATGGTGCTCAAGCGTACTTCCGTCCTGGTGTAGTTCTTGATCTCCGTGAACGGCTTCGACGGGTGCTGGCACACGACGCCAGTCGAGCTCACGCCAGGCTGAGAGGACGAGACAACGCGGGTCTCTTCCACCTTGCACATCTCAGGCGTGATGCCAACCGCGCCCTTCGGGCAGACCCTCTCTGTCCACTGCTCCTTCGTTAACTGGATCGACGTCTTGCTGATCTCCTGGCCGTAGAGTACGTCCACCTCGACGCTGCCATGCTCGCCGATAGCATCCTCGATGTTCGCGGCAAGCTCGCTGTCGGCCTGGATCTTGCTGTCGCAGTCCTTGTTGAAATCCTCGTCCTCGCGGCACCTCTCGCAGAAGTCCTGCCAGGCCATGTCCTGCTGGAAGTGGCGGGTGAAGCACGTGAAGCACGTGTCGCACCCGTATGTCGGAGGGGCGCCACGCCCAGAACCCTTGCCACGATGGCACGTCGACCGATCCACGGGCTCGTCGCAGCGGTCGCAGGCCACTGCGTCACTGCCGACGCCTCCAGCCTTCCCTTTGCGAGGCTGAGCCACCTTGACGGGGGCGCCGCTGTCGCCGTCTGCACTCGTACGCTTTCTGCCGCCCATGGCGGCGCACTGCCTCTGAGCTGCCAGCTCCACGCGCGGGCTCCAGTACGTGATGGGCCACTCTCGGAGCCGAGGACGGCGCCAGCGGCGCCTTGCTGCCGAAAACTCCGTGCCGAAAAAGGCTGCGTGACGGGGGGGATGGAGGTTGGACGGGCGCTCCCACAGCAAAGCTCGCTGGCTAAGCCCCAACATATTGCACCACATCGATGGCACCACCTAGGCCATCAGCAAAGGCCCCATGTCCTAACTTACTCTTGGGCTCCAAGCTGGAGCCCCAAGGGAAAGGCCACCTGGTGGACCCCAAGGGAGGCTGCCTTGAGGGGCAGGGGTCCCGAATGAAAGGCCCGGGCGCCACGGTGGAGCCTCAAAGTGAGTCCAGAAGGGGGGCGCACTATCACGCCTACTCTTCACTGTCCTAGTGTTGTCCTACTCTCGCGCTGCATGGTGCGCGCAACAACCACCTACAGATACCTACGGCTTTCCTACTGCAACCGATGCGCATTCAACAGCGTTTCCTGCTCTGTATTTCCTTGTTTGAGCGCTTTGAAGGCACGTGGAGCCATGACGGCATCGCCTACCCTCTCTTGATCGCACGGCCACGGCTCTAGTAGGACCCAACAACCCAGTAACGCATCCTTGCCAGCCTAACCTCCTACGATTGGGCTCCAAGGATGAAGCCCCAAGGGTTGGCCCCAAGAGGCTCCAGGGGAGGCGCCTTGAAGGGCAGGGCCCAATGCTGAGTCCCAAAGGGCCAAAGGACGGGAGCCCAAAGTGGAGTGCAATGAGGGCGCACAACCAAGACACACCGAACGCACCT